GAAGGTAATGTGAGAAAAGCGAGATGTAGAGTTTCATGTAGAATCTTTTAAACTGTATTGGGAATTCAGATTTTATTTTAATTTTAGTTAATTTTTTTAAAAAAGTGACAGGGAGCTTAAAAATCAGAGGAATAGAGGCTTCCCTGGTGGTGCAGTGGTTGAGAGTCTGCCTGCCGATGCAGGGGACACGGGTTCATGCCCCAGTCCGGGAAGATCCCACATGCCGCAGAGCGGCTGGGCCCGTGAGCCATGGCCGCTGGGCCTGCACGTCCGGAGCCTGTGCTCCGCAACGGGAGAGGCCACAGCAGTGAGAGGCCCGTGTACCGCAAAAAAACAAAAAAAACCCAGAGGAATATGTAATTTAAGTTTTAGGACGATTACTTAAGTGTCATGTGAATAGATTGGTGAGTCATATTAGGCATAACTTTGGCTGCCTATAACAGTTCCTTAAATGATTTGGAAGTTTATTTCTCTTTCATGCAACAGTCTGGAGGTGTAGTTAGTCCACCGTTCTTAGGGTGCATCCTTATCTGTATGGTTCAGAATGGCTTTGTTACCTCCTCCACTTTAAAATCAACAGGGTGGAGGAAGGGCCAAAGAGGGATGTGTCCCTGCCTTTTGAAAATCTGGGTTTTTGAAGTTATCACTCCCTATCACTCCCCCTCACATTCTGTTGTCCAGAACCTGTATTCCACACCAAGATTTGAGGAAGACTGAAAGAAGACCCCCTGTCCCCAGCCCCCACACAGTGTCTTTTCATATATAGCTATATAATATTCAATTGTGTAGGTATACCAGTTTTGTTAATATCTTATTATTAGATAAGAAGCCTTTAAACTTTTTTCTTTATTGAGTAATATAATGAATATTTTCTTATATTATCAATAGATTGTGTGTACATTTCCATTTCATGGTGTTCATTTACTATTGCCACGTTTTTGCTATCCAAAATAGTAGGGGAAAAAACCATTGAAAAGTGATTTTTTTTTGTATTTAATTGTTAGTGAAGTCAGACATTCAATATCGTTTTTCCCATAAAATTTTATTCTGGGATATTGAATGTGTACACAAAAGCCAACAATAATATAATATCTTTGTACCCATCTTGTAGCTTCTATAATTATCAGCTTATAGCCAGTCTTGCAATACTTAAACTCCTATCTAAATTTCTTCTTGTGTAATTTTGAAGCAAATCCCCAACATCATATAATTTCATCTGTAAGTATTTCAGTATGCAAATATTTTTTCATGTCTTTTATCCAGTTGTTTTAACTCTTTTATGAGCTATCTGCTCATGTCCATGGTGTATTTTTTTTCTTTTTCAGTAATTTTATACAATTTTATAATAGTATATAGACAGTAAATACAGGTCCAGTTTTCTGTATGGGCCTTAATTTGGATAAAGGTAGTAAGTTAAATTTTGGACATGTTAAGTTTGAGATGGAACATCCGAGGTTGATGTTTAAAAGCAGTTATAAACGGACTGTGCTGCTTCTTTTCATTTATCAAAATAGGGGTGATTGATGAAGTCTTGGGAATGGATGATTTTATTCAGGGAGGGTTGGAGTGAAAAGCAAAAGCTGCAAAATGATGCTTGTAAAGTATTTAAGGGATGGCCACAGAAAAAGACCAAGAAGAAACATTTTGGGAAAAAAAGGTCTGGAGAGAGCAGTGTCTAAGGAGGGAAAGGTTAATAACATTTATCTGATGTAGTATAGAGCTCAGGGAGGATGACAAACAGAAATATATTTGTTGGATTTTATGATTAAACAAATGAAAAAAGAGATGCAGACCAGGACACAGTGAGCTGTAGGGTGCAGGATATCCCTGAGTTTGAATGCCGACTGCCACTTGTCTTGCTGCATTATGTTTGGAAATTTGCTTATTGAGCATTAGTTATCCCACTTTTTAAATGGGGGTAATAAGGCTTGTCTTTTAAGGTTGCTGAGACGTTTAACCGAGAGAATGATCTGCACTTGTTTGTGTCTTCTTTATAAATGGTAGTTGTTGACATCACATTTTGATACCTTACTGGCTGATCTAGGATATCTGACTTCAAGTGGTTTCTATTACACAAGTCCTGTATCTGTTGTTTTTGACTTGCTGTACTAATGGATATTCTTTTGATAGTATAGTATAGATTATTCAGAATTGGTTCAATTTTAGCTTTCACTTGCATTTGTTAATTGCCAAGGGTTCTAAGAATAGAAAGTGATTTAGGTATAAGAGAGTTTCTACCTAAAATTTGGATTAAAAAAAAAAAAAAGTAAAGAAACCAGAATTGACTTAAAAGAAGTCAATTTAAAGTAAGCCTGTTAGGACTCCCCTGGTGGCACAGTGGTTAAGAATCTGCCTGCCAGTGCAGGAGACACGGGTTCGAGCCTTGGTCTGGGAAGAGCCCACATGCCACAGAGGCAACTAAGCCCGTGCGCCACAACTACTGAGCCACAGCTACTGAAGCCTGCGCGCCTGGAGCCCGTGCCCCACAACAAGAGAAGCCACCACAATGAGAAGCCCTCGCACTGCAACGGAGAGTAGTCCCCGCTCGCTGCAACTAGAGAAAGCCGGCGTGCAGCAACGAAGACCCAACGCAGCCAAAAATAAATAAATAAATTTAAAAATAAATAAAATAAAATAGAAGTCTGTTAATGGCAAATACTCTTCATTTCCCTTTAATCTAAGAATGTCTTGATTTCCCCTTCATTTTTGGAGGATATTTTTGCTAGATAGGAATTTTGGAATTAAGTCCTTCCCTTTCAGCACTTAAAAATGTTCTTCACTGTTTCTGCCTTCCATAGTTTCTGATGAGAAACCCACAGTCAGTGGAATTGTTTTTCTCCTAAGTGGAAGGTTGTTTTTCCTTGGCTGCCTTCAAGATTTTAAAATTTTCTTTAGTTTTCAGTAATTTGATTATGATATATCTGGGTACAGGTTTCTTTGAATTTATGTTGTTTGAGATTCATTGATTCTTTTGAAATTGTAAGTGTATATCTTTCACCAAATTTGGGAAGTTTTCTGCTGCTATTTCTTTAAGTATGTTTTCTGTGTGCTACTCTTTATCTTCTCCTTTGGGGACTCTGATGACATGAATGTTAAACCTTTTGATATTGTCCCGTTGGCTTTGTTCATTTATTTTTTCTATCATTTTTCTCTCTGTACATCAGATTGGATAGTTTCTATTGCTCTATCTTCAGGTTTACTGATTCTCTCCTCTGTTATCTCCCTTCTACAGTCGAGCCCCTCCAGAGAATTTTGGGTTTACTTTGGATATTGTGGTTTTTAGTCTTAAATTTTTATTTGCTTTATACACCACATAGGCACACACACAATAATGTAATGAATCTTACTTCTCTGCTGAGACTCTTAACTATTTTTTTTCCCCCCAAGAATCATCTTTCTGGCTTCTTGAAGCATGGTTATAGTAGCTGCCTTAAAGTCTTTGTCTGAAAATTCCAGAGTCTGTAGCATCTTGGGTTTGTTGTGTGTAGGTTGTCTTTTCTCTTGTGAGTTATTGAGATTTTCCTGGTTCTTCATATGTCAAGTAATTTTGGATCATATATTAGACATTTTGATGTTAACGTTATGATACTCTGTCTCATTTAAATGATATGGAGAATGTTGTTGTTGTTATTACTTTATTTTTAGGGATGGGAGGATTTTTTTAAGCGGGCATTTGGTCCTGTTAGGTTCAGGTCATAAGTTTCTGCCTACCCTTCTGTGCACTAAAATTCCAATGACTAGTTTTCAAAGCCTTTGTTTCTATCTGTCCCGCATGTACACCACCGAGTGGCAAATTTGGGAACCTGATAGTATGTTTAGGGTCAGATCCACATAGGCATAGTTCTTGGGTGACCCCAGGAGTGTTTATAGAACTTCATGGTGTCACTTTCTTGAGCTCCTTTCTCTTTGCAAGTTCCCTGACACTTTCTGGCTCTTAGAGACCCTTCTTCCTTGTCCTATGGCTAGATAACTAAGGTTTTCATTTTGGTGTTTTGCTGCACACTTCCACAACTGCATCTGCCTTTGATGCCAAGCAACAGGATGGTGGAGAAAGAATATAAACCATGGGAATTCCCTCCACACTCATGGGATCGGAAGGAATCTGCTTTCTTGAAGTTTTAGGTCCCTGTCCAGCCACTGCTGGTATCATCACTGCCACAGCTGCTGCCTTTGGATTCCTTGGGGGCAGGGTCTGAGAGAAAGGGAAAAAAACCCTCAGAGGATTGTCCTCCCTTTTAGGGGCCCCCTTTACTGCTTTTTGGACAAAAAAAATAGAAGACTTCTCTTGGAGCCATTTCTGTCTGCACTTACTGTGCAGTTCTGAGTTTGGACTGCCCTTGAGTCTACCTAGGGGAAACAAAACCAGGAAACTCACTGCTGGGTTAGTAGTACTTCTAATTTTGGTTTCCTCCCTGAAACCAACTGCTACCATTTTCAGAGTCCTCAGATAGCTGCTCCATGCATTCTGTCCAGGTTTTTAGTTGTATTCGGGAGAGACAGGATAATTTATGCTTATTACATCATCTTCACCAGAACCAGAACACGGATACCATTTTAATTTCATTATAACTGTATTGTTCTTTTGTTTTGGTTAAGAAATTACTGAGCAACCAAGATGTACTAGACTTTGTTTGGAGATGTAAAGATGGATAATCTTTAAGGTGCTTCCAGTAAGTCCACAGGTAGTCATGTGATGAGGGAGTGGAGGCAGAAAGTAAACATAATTTCACATTATGCATTAATAATAATTGAATTATTAATCTTATCCTTTTTGATCCGTTTCTGCTTCAGGATTTGACTTAGGGTTTGTGACTGAAGGAGAGAATATCCTATTTACGTTTCATTAATTTTCCACTTATTATCCAAAAATTTAAGGGATGAAAAGTCTCTGGATTTGTATATGCTGGAGGAAATTAATACATAGCTATAATAAATATAATTTATATATGTAATTATAATAAGAAATTAAAATAATTTACTATTATATACTTGTTTCTCAGGTCTTAGAAAAATATCCCAATACACCCATGAGTCATAAAGAAATTCTTCAAGTTATCCAGAGAGAAGGACTAAAAGAAATCAGGTGAGTTATTTAAGTATTATTAGTAATAATTATAATACTTGATTAGAATATTTTATAGTATATAGCAGTCTACTTTAGTCCTGAAGATTGATTATTTAGTAATAACTGCTTTGTTAATTTATGATTTATTCAGCTCAGATCTTTGGAGTTTTCAGTCATAGCACAGTTACAAAACCAAAAGTAAGTTAGAAAAAAATTCTTAGAAGGTTGCTATCTCCACACCCATGCACTTTAATTCTTAGGAAGGCCTGGAGCCATCTTCAAGCCTTCATCTATCAGTTCAGGCTTTTGATTTAATAAGCTTAGTCATTAGCAAATTTAGAAGTCCTCTAGTTCAGGGAGAATGGTAGATGTAAACAGTCTAGGAAAAAATAACCTTGGCCAAAAAGAATTAAATGGAAAAGATACATAAAGCAGTATGTGTTTCAAGTAATCGTCTTACTATGTTCAAATAAAACAGCCTGGGGTCAATTAATATAGGACCAAAGATAGAACACACTTTAATTTCTAAGAGCTTTATTATATTACAATAGCACATAATAGTCACTGTTCATAGTCAAGACCCTCTGCCATCAAGAAATATTAAAATTATGTTCATTATATTTTATATGTTAAGGCAGAAATCCGGGTGTCTACATTAGAGATATTTTCATTAAGAGAAAAAGGTTACAGTGCTACTAGTTGTTCTCACCTGGGGCTGGTATAGTGCAGGGGTCCCCAACCCCACGGGCCACAGACCACTAGTGGTCCATGGCCTATTAGGAACTGGGCCGCACAGCAGGAGGTGAGTGGCGGGCGAGCGAGTGAAGCTTCATCTGTATTTACAGCCGCTCCCCATCACTTGCATTACCGCCTGAGCTCTGCCTCCTGTCAGATCAGCTGCAGCATTAGATTTTTAAAGGAACCCTACTGTGAACTGCTCATGCGAGGGTCTAGGTTGCGTGCTCCTTATGCGAATCTAATGCCTGATGATCTGAGGTGGAGCTGAGGCTGTGATGCAAGTGCTGGGGAGCGGCTGCAAATACAGATTATCATTAGTGAGGTTTGACTGCACAGAGACCGTAATAAATCAATTGCTTGCAGACTCATATCAAAATCCTATCAGTGAGTGACAAGTGAAAACAAGCTCAGGGCTCCCACTGATTCTGCATTAAGGTGAGTTGTACAATTATTTCATTATATATTACAATGTAATAATGGAAAAAAAGTGCACAATAAGTGTAATGTACTTGAATCATCCCCAAATCATCCTCCACCCACCCCACCCCCTGCCCCAGTTAATGGAAAAATTGTCTTCCATGAAACTAGTCCCTGGTGTCAAAAAGGTTGGGGACCTCTGGTATAGTGTAATACCCATAGCGAAAGTGGTTAGGATTTTGGGGGGCTATTTTTGATTGTCACAATGATGAGAAAGGAGGGAGCACTATGGCATTTGGTTATTACTCTGAGGAACAAATTCTACTAACGTATTCTAATTTTCTTTATAACACTATTGGGTTTTATAGAACAGGAATGAGCAAGAGATTTCATTTCTTTTCATAAAATTAGACTATTCGTAAAAATTTCATAAAATTTTCTATTCCTAAAAATACACACTGGGGAAATAGACCAGGAAATCTTATGTAAAGAGATCAGACTCGGGCTTCCCTGGTGGCGCAGTGGTTGAGAGTCCACCTGCCGATGCAGGGGACACGGGTTCATGCCCTGGTCCAGGAAGATCCACATGCCGCGGAGCGGCTGGGCCCGTGAGCCATGGCCGCTGAGCCTGCGCGTCCAGAGCCTGGGCTCCGCAACGGGGGAGGCCACAGCAGTGAGAGGCCTGCGTACCGCAAAAAAAAAATAAAAAAAAATAAAAGAGATCCGACTCCATCAGTGTCCTAGGTCTAAATGACAATTGCAGGATCATTTATCTCTAACTCAGTAAGGCTCTGACTTTAAACTTGTCATTATTATTTCTAGAGAGTAGGCAAGAACAGTAAATAAGAAAGAATACTAAATAAATAAAGAACAGAAGGGGAAAAAAAGAAGAACTTAAAAAAAAAAATGTAGCAAGATGGTGGAGTCATCAAAAATAGCTTCTGACTTCACTTAGTAACAACTCACAAGAAGCTATTCTTGGTTAAACTATATTGTGGTGATACAGTTACGTGACCACAAAGCAGTACTTTTAAAGTCACCAGTGACTTCCATTTTGTCACCTCCACTGGCCTTTTAGTTTTGCCTCTCTTGTTACCTCTCAGCATTACTTAACACAGATGACTACTGCTTCCTTTTGAAACTCTGTATCATTACCTGAAGTGACCAAACATTCCTGCTTTCCTTCCTTGCTCTGCAAGCTCCTTCTCAGTTTATTTGCTTATTATCTTCTCTCTAACTGAAGTGCAATCGACATTCCCATAGCTTTTTTGGGGTCACTTTCGTTTTGTCACTTCCCAGTTGTGTAGGGAAGCTAATTCCCACCTCAGCCTTTGTACATGCTGACCCCTTTACTTAGTTAACTGTTGTTTTTTTTCAGGTGTCAGCTTGAACATGTCTCTTCCAGAGAACTTTGGCTGACTTCCCAATCTAGATCACATTTTCCGTTTTTAGTTTGGTATATAGTGTTCTGTGTTCTTTCTTTATAGCACTTAAGATTTGAAATTACATATCGCTTTGGTCTTTCAAAAAAATCATGTAGCTTCTCTATAGCTTACATTAAGCTAGTAGCTCCATGAGGGCAGTGACATTTATCTCCCCCCCGCCCCCGGCTTGGCACGTAACAGGCCTTGCAAACCTACTTGTTAATGAATATATGAAGTATCAGTGATTGGAAGATGACATTCAAATGTAGTTCTAGCTTATCCTCTTGCTGCATGATGTGTCTTAAATGGTAGTCTTAAAATCTTTAGAGTTTTCAGGTACATTATGGAACGAAGTAACTATGCTTATTGAAGATGTGCTCTTTTTTTTGAACCAGTCTTAGCATTTAATTAACCAGGAAGGGGGATTATTGGGAGGGGCACCCCTGTAAAAATGTACAAAAGGTCTGTGGGGCTATGTGGAAGGGGGAGATAAATATGTACATGGAACCCCGCCTTCCTTTAGCCCTTCCTCCCCCAGCCCTGAGAGGGCATGAGGACTTGGGTGGTAGGTGAAGGGGGGGGCACTTTGGCCTCTGGTTTAGTGAGCCTCTGGGGAGGCAGGCCAAGGGCCTGGGGGCCCTCAGAAGCGACGATGGTAGGATGTGCTCCTTTTTACAGTTTTATTTTCATTCCTTAATCCTCAATACAAGACTTTTTAGCTATTTTTCCCTTTGCTGTTTTCCCTCTGCTCCCCCATTTTGAAGATTCTCGCTTGATTTTGATTATTCCATACTATATTGTTTTATTCTAAAATGTATTAAAATGGAAGCAGCTCAAATGTCCATCAGAAGATGAATGGATAAATAAAATGTGGTATATACAGTCAATGTAGTAGTATTCAGCCTTAAGAAGGAATGAAATTCTGATACATGCTACATAGATGAACCTTAAAAACATGCTGAGTATATGTATAACTGATTCATTTTGATGTACAGTAGTAAGTAACACAACATTGTAAATCGATTAAAAATTTTAAAAAAATATGAAAGAGAATGTATATATGTATTTAAAAAAATGCTGAGTGAAATAAGCCAGACACAAAAGGACAAATATTGTAGAATTCCACTTACATGAGATACCTAGAATAGGCAAGCTCCTAGAGACAGAAAATGGAATAGAGGTTACCAGGGGCTGAGAGTAGGGGAGAATAGGGAGTTATTGTTTAATTGGTAGAATTTCTCTCTGGGATGATGAAAAAGTTCTTGAAATGGGTAGTGGTAATGGTTGCACAACAGTGTAAATACTTAGTGCCACTAAATCGTACACTTATACAAGTTACCATTTTAGCCATTTTATTATGTATATTTTGCCACAACCAGTCAACAAAAAGAAGTATTAAAAATGAAGTGATTGGCTCCTGGCTGAGAAGGATTGAGGTACTAGTCCCTTTAAGAAGTTAGGTGATAAGATTGAAAATCATTTACCCAAAATATGGAATTTTGAATGAATGAATTAGAAACGTACAGTATTCTTAGAATATTATAACATTTAAATTAAATACTGTTTTATAACTGTAAAGCATATCAGCATTTTAGAAAATGGAGAAAAAAAAGGGTCCTTGAATTTTCCCCCTCATAATAGCTTATGACTTCGTGTATTCCTTTTTTTTTTTTTTCCGATACCTAAACGAACTCCTTTTAAAGATAGAGTTTCCCATGGGAGTCATAGGGAAGATATGGATTTTGTTGTTTCAGGTGAAAGGAACATTTTGAAGTGTTCTAAAAGGAGCTTAGTTCTGTTTAGAACAGATAAGGAGATGTGAAAAGGGTTGAAGTAGCCCCTAGGAAGAAGAAAAGATAGAGAGATTTTAAAAGAAAGAAGAATTTGGGACTTGTAGGTTGTAGCAGTTATTGGTAATTTAGATAGATAGATGCTCTAACTACAGTATTTGGTCACTCCTAAAGAAAAAGACTTTAGTTTCTGTACTGTTTGCCAGTAAATAGTTATTTCAGAAAATTAAAAATGGTTTTTAAACAATTTGTTGTGACATCTCACTTCCTTGTTCAATTTTCCATGTCTGAAATATAGCCTACTTGTTCTTTCTCTTAACTTATATAGTAATGATAACTTAGCAGTAGTTTCCTAGGGTTGAGCTCTTCGACACAGAATTGCTAGTTCCAAATGTGAAGTACTGTTAGAACCTTTTGAAAAAATTCTGTAAGCTTTTAATCATTTGTTTTTACGTAGACAGTTTCCTTTTTAAAAAGTCAGCATTGTTGACTGAATAGAGAGTTTTTTCGAGTTTACTTGGTTGAAAAACCCCCATTCACATTATAGCTGATGTGTTATTGAGTCTAGATCATGCTATACATTTATGTGAATCTAAATATTGAAGGAATAGTTAGTTATTTTTGTTTCCCTCTCAAGATACTACAAATGAAATCAAGGGTTCAGAGAGACAGATGTATCCACTTCATACAGTTTGTGTACTTCAGTTTCTTTCTAAGGGAAATTATTCAGGGTTTTATTTTATCTTGAATCAATGTAACTTGTACAGTAAATGGCTGTCATTAGCCATCAGTGTTTAAAATAGCCTTTCAAAAACTTAAGATGTTTCCTTTTTGTCTGATGATGATGTCTTAAGA